CTGGGCACTAAGACTCCAACCAGTATTTCATTTCCACCACAATTCTAGAACAATAGAACCATCGTTGTAGATGACGCTTGAAACATCACCTATCATTTTAAAGAGATGTTCTGCAACAGGGAAGGGTACATCATGAAAAGCAAGTGCACACTCTAGGATTTTGTCACTGGGAAACCTGAAGTTGCGCAAAAGGTTAATTTGGATGAACACAAGGCTGTAGATCTTTGAGATTGAATGCCTTGCAAGGTGCCCATTCTCCTATTGACTTCTTGGTTATTATGCTCCTGGCTGGACATGCTAAGGAGATGCCGCCAGCTCAGAGGTGAGGAGGCCACAGCCGTGTGTGCGGAGCCCTCCCCACCTGCCCTCACAGCCCCTGTTTTCTCCACACTTCGCTTCTGTGATCACTTCCCGTCCCCAGGGCAGTCCTACCTCTTTATTGAGACCGGAGAAGCGAAACAGGGTCTCAGATGCCCCTCCCGGGGGGACCATCAGTGGGCTTGCAGTGAGCGTATATTTGTTACATGAATAAGTATGTAAATTAATGATGGAATGAAATTAGAAAACACAGCATCCAAAGAAGTCAGTCCTGAAGTCTCATCATTTTGGAATGAACAAGAAACTCTCATCTGCTCTTTGGTTGCATAAGGGACAACTTTCTGAAAACTTTAAAAAAGTTTTTTGGCCATAGTATTTAATAAAATATGCACCTCTATTCTGGTATGCCCTTCTTCCACCTAGGATACCTTAGTCAGTAGCTTATGTTCCAGAAACATGTCAAGAGCCCTATCTTGTGATGAGTGGCCGCAGATGGGGAGCAGCAATCGTGGAGTGTCAGCCCCGTGCATTTGGCTCTCAGAAGTTCTCTCTTTATTCAGGCTCAGAGCTGGAGAAGTATTAGCATCCAGAATTATGCCTGAGGGTCACTGCTTTGCAATGCGGAGGTGAAAATTTTATTAGAAAAACTCCAGTTTGGGGACGATACTATACGCTCAAAGTGAGAGGCCCACAGGTATGTGCCCCATAGCCCTGCCTTCAGTTCCTTTGTATGAGCCCCCAACTTGGTATCCACAGCCAGAAAGGAAAGGCAGCAGCCATCGTCCCCTCTCCAGAGATTTCACAGAGCCCGTGGGAGGAGATTTCCACCACTAAATGTTCTTCCTCAAGTCAAAGTTTTCCAGGCTCAGTAATAACGCCTTCTTCATAAACACATATTCCAGCCTACACTTCCTTCCCTCTCTCTCTCTCTCTCTCACCCTCTCCGTCTCCCTACTCTCTCTTCCTTTCCTTTCTTGTTCGCCCTCTTGTCCGTGTGCTCCCTCACCTCCTTCCTCCCTTGGGCTCCAGCATCTCCCTGTTCTGGCTTTCTCCCCATTTCCCTTTCCTCTCGCTCCTCTTTCCTTCACTCACTCCTCTTCGTCCACCCAACCCCTCACCATAGAAATGTTTCTGTGTTTGGTGTCTCTCTCTTCCCCACCTCTCTCAGAAACTTGACCCAGTCTCCGAATTTCACTGATTTCCTTGACGCTTCTCTTTCGCCTTTCAAACCAGGATCTCCAGTCTGGTCTCCTCAAGTCCTGGTCTCCCCTTTAAGCTCCAGGGCTGTGTCTGCCACCACACCCTGGATGTGTCTACTCAGCTCCCTTGTTGTCTTTTCCAATTCAACATAAAACAAGCCTCTCCTGTCCCCTCTCGCAAATAGATTCTTTCTCCCAACTTCCTTTTATAGTTAATGGTACCACCACTTTCCCAACTCTCCGAGTTCAAAATCTGAGGTTACCTTCATTGACTCCTCAGCCAGTCACCTAGCCTTAATGATAGTTCTTTAAATACCTCCCTCTTCTTTATTCCTCCCACTCTGCTTTCCTTGCTGTTGCCTTCGCTCAGGCTCTCATTACCTCAAACCTTGGTTATCTCTATAAGCATCTGGCTGCTCCAGCCTCTCTCCCCATAAACCAAGGGGTGGATGGGTGGCGGAAGGCACTATGATCCTTTTGCCTTAACAACATGGCCTGGGGGCAGGGAATGTGGGGAGGGACTGACGTGTGGACCGGTTGTGGCTCTCCCCTCCGTTGATCCACCTGCAGGAAGGGGAGGCCTAAGCCTGGGGGTGGGGGAATAAACATCTAATTCCATCTTCAAATATTCTGCAAATATATACTGGGTCCATACAATACCAAACCCTGTCCTAGAAACTGAGACACAATGATGAACAAAACAGACATAGTCCCTGTCCTCATGGAGCTTAGTCACAGGAGGAGACAGATAGTAAATAAATAAAGGCGCAATGTGACAGGAAGTGATAGATCATAGGACTTATGTATAAAGAAAAATAGAGCTACATAAAGTGCATAAAAAGTGAACAGGTCAAATGGCCAACAAACACATGAACAAACGCTCAAGGTCATCAGAGAAATGCAAATCAAAATCACAATGACATACCACTTCACACCCACTAGGATGGCTGTAATAAAAAAAATAGAAAATAACAAATGTTAGCAAGGATGTGGAGAACTCGAAACTCTCATACTCTGCTGATGGGAAGGCAAAATGGTGCAGCTGCTGTGGGAAACTGTTTGGCATTCCTCAAAAAGCTAAACATAGTTACCATATGACCCAGCAATTCCTCTCCTACATATTCACCCAAGGGAATTGAAAACACGTGTTCCAACAAAAATTTGTGCAAGAGTGTTCATAGCCGCACTATTCACAATAGTCATAAGGTGAGAACAACTCAAAGGTCCATCAAGTGATGGATGGATAAAGAAAATGTGGTGGATGCGTACAATGGAATATCATTCAGCCCGAAAAAGAGATAAAGTACTGAGTCATGCTCCATCATGGGTGAACCTCAAAAACATAAGCTAAGTGAAAGCAGCCAGATACAAGAGGCTGTATATTGTATGATTCCATTTACATGAAATGTCCAGAATAGGCAAATCCATAGAGACAGGAAGCAGATCAGTGGTCGCAGGAGCGGGGGATGGCGGAATGGGGAATGACCTCTTAATGGGTATAGGATTTCATTTTGGGATGGTGAAAATGTTCTGGAACTAGATGATGCTGATGATTGCACAGTATTATAAATGCACTAAATACCACTTAATTGTACACTTTTAAAATGGTTAAAAGGGTAAATTTTATGTTGAGTATATTTCACCACAATAAAAAAAGAAGAAAGTGAGGGTGGTCATGGAGTTGCTCCTTGAATGGGAGGGTTAAGGAAGCCTCTCAGATGAGGTGAGCTCTGGACGGAGGCCTGAGGCAGGAGGGTTGAGACTGACAGTGACCCAGGCAGAGAGCCTTCCAGGTAGGGGGGTTCAGGGGGATGGGTTGGGGACAGACAGCGCTGAGCAGGATTCATCATGATCTGACTCCACTTTCCTTACTTCACTCCTCAGTCCAGAAGCACAAACGGCTCCTTCTGGGCTCAACCCCTCCGCCTCTTTTAACCCACCACTTTCCTTCCTGCCTCTCATCAGGGCACACATTGCTGCACTGTCCTCCAGACACACTGGCCCCTTCCACCCTGACCCCCACCTGCGGAATGGCTCCTTCCAGCCATTTGGACACCACACGGCCCTTTGGGGCCCAGCCCAGGGACCACTTCTTCTGGGGCACATTTTCTGCTGCCTGTCTGAGCAGGAGGACTGGCCCCAGACTGAGAGTTGAGCACTGAGCCTGCCATCCATCAGCCTTGAGGCAGGACACTCAGCGCTTCAGGAAGCTTCTATTTCCCCATCTGTACAATGAGCACTGTTGAGAGAATGGGGTGATTGCAAAGTGCCTCGCTTAGGACGTGCTGCACAGCAAGCTCTCAGGAAGAGCAGTCGTATTGTTACGTCAGCCTTTCCTGTAATCTGAGGTTTGAAATGTGGCACTTCATTTTATACTATAATATTTGGTAATTATTTACTGAATATAGACAGGAGTCAAAATACATGGTAAACACCTTACAACGATGCTATTTATATTCCTGGTGACAACCCTTCCCCAACCCTGGTGAGTATTCCAATATCAAACATATAGAATGAACTTGAAGAAAAGCTTGACTGACCAACGACTGATGGATTGATGGATTCATTTGGCTCTAGCATCAAATAAGAATGGACCTTTCTTCACATTAAAACTTTAAAGGAAACATAAAGATCTCTGGGGGAGGGGAGAGACACACACACAATTGGCAAATGAACACCTGGTCCAGCTAGGGTGAGATACACCAAAAGATTTCACAGGCACAAATGTTTGCAAAAAAAAAAAAACACTGCACAACTGAGCAAAGACCCAGAGGAGTGGAGGCGAGTTTTTCAGAAAAATAAAAATACACTCACTCTACAAATGAGCCGTTCTTTTATTTCTAGAGGTCATAGTTACGCGTGTTCAAAGAAAATGCTAATACATTTTACACATAGATGTAAGACAAATCTTTAATGATCTATCACTGGAGAAAGGCATGAACTTAAAAATATGAAAATATGTGATAGTAGAGCTCTATTTCCCAAAAATTTAGAAGTGGGCTATAAGTAAATAGATTGATAGAGTGGCACCCAATTTCTTGAGGAGAAAGTGGCAAGAAAAAGAGAAGCAGTTCAGCTTTTTTAGATAAGAAGATATGATGCCAAGATAGGGGTGAGAACCACTCCCGTGTGAGCTGGTCACGTGACGAGCCGCCCAAAACTGCACCCGAGAGCGAACGAGACCGCCCGACTCTGGTTTCCCACCTTGGCGACCTGTGGACACCAAAGGCAGTCTCGTTGCCCCACCCGGCGGATCCCTTCCGCGTACACCCAGCCCTTTCTCCACCAACAGAGAATTGCCACTGAGCTTTCTTTCTGTGAGATTCTGGGTTTCATCACTTTATTCCTCTTTCAGAGAAACAGACACAAACCCTGTTCAACGGTAAAAAGCCAGAAAGCAGCTGGCTTCTTCCAACGTTCACAGACACAATTTTCTTAATCATCTTTTCAACAAAACCACGAAAAAGGAAAGAAAATGTTTACCTGATGAGATCCCTGATTTCTTCATGGGAGTCTAAAATGGGATATTTAAAAAGCCACTCAAATGCATCTTCTGAGAGTTCCTTAAATCCAAAATCTGCCTCCGACAGCAGCTCTGAGCATGAGCTCTGAATAGAGGCTGTGTGTTATTTTAACCACAAGGTTTCTAGTCAGCCGGGAGGAGAGATGGAAATGAGGCACCTTGGCAAGAGGAGTCGCCCATCCACCTCCAGCACGACGAGCTCGCAGATCTGATGTAAGAGCTCAGGGACATTTGAAGAACCCTCAAACCAACTTTTCCTAAACCAGAGGTTAAATAACTGTGGAAAATTCCAAAGGAGTAAGATAAGACACTTATGGTCTTTTCTAAAAAAAGACACGTTGGTATGCCCTGTCTGATACTGTCTGAAGGGAGGCCCAGCACGGAGCTGGCCTGGGGAGTCCCGGGCCTCCGGCAGGAGAAAGTGACACCTGTGGATGGATAGCTCTGCTCCTCAAGGAAAGGAGCTCGTCTGGGAGTTAAAAATGCAGAATGACAAAAGAGCGTGACCCAGTCAAATCTTTTGTGTGACAACAAAATCAGTGTCAAGAGAATCCATAGAAAGTTCTAGGGTAAGGCAATAGCTACTCTAGAGTATGTTATTATGGAAGATTAATGTGTGTGTGAGTGTGTGAGAGAGTGTAAGCATGTGTGTGTGAATGTGTGTGAATGTGTGAGTGTGAAAGAGTATGAATGTGTGAGTATGTGTGTGAACGTGTGTATATGACTGAGAGTGTGAATGTGTGTGAGTGTATGAGTGAATGTGTGTGTATGAATGAGAGTATGTGAATGTGTGTAAGTGCAGGTGTGTGTGTATGAGTGTGAATGTGTGTTTGTGACTGTGTGTGAACGTGTGTATGTGAGTGAGAGAGTGTGAATATGTGTGAGTGAATGTGTGTATGAATGAGAGCATGTGAATGTGTGTAAGTGCAGGTGTGTGTGTATGAGTGTGAATGTGTGTTTGTGACTGTGTGTGAACGTGTGTATGTGAGTGAGAAAGTGTGAATGTGTGTGAGTGTGTGAGTGAATGTGTGCGTATGAATGAGAGCATGTGAATGTGTGTCAGTGTGGGTGTGTATGAGTGTGAATGTGTGTTTGTGAGTGTGTGTGAACGTGTGTATATGAGTGAGAGAGTGTGAATGTGTGTGAGTGTGTGAGTGAATGTGTGTGTATGAATGAGAGCATATGAATGTCTGTCAGTGTGGGTGTGTGTGTATGAGTGTGAATGCGTGTTTGTGAGTGTGTGTGTTCCTCACTTCCCAAACAACTTAAAAAGCACAGAGCCAGCCTCAGCTTGGACCAGTTGGAGATCGTCCTCCTCAGTATTTTGGCAGATACCCACGCGCCTCTGGCCTTGGAGGAGAAGGATTTATCGTGCACAGAATCAACAGCAAAGGCTAGAGCCGCTGAAATAGCCAACACTCCTTTACAGCCAGCCCTTCACAGATGCCAAAGGGGTTTCACTCCACTTTTGGAAAAACTCAGCAGTACTCCAGTAAGCAGGGTCATAACTCAGTTTTATATAGAGTCTTTCATCTCAAAGGAGCTTGAGGTGCGTTTACACCAAAATATAAATTATCCTGTGCGCAGTCACCTCGGGGACGAAAGGCAGCTCCTGCCTAGCAGCTGCTGGCCAGGACACAGCCGGTCGGCTCGGAGCCGCAGTCTGACAGCAGGACGGCGGCCAGGAGGCTCTCTGCGAGGAAGAAGGAGTGAGACCAGTCCTTCCAGTGGCGGCCCATCCCTCCCTGGACATACAGGGGCCCTCTCGGATCTGCACCTCACTGTCCTTCCTGAGGCCCCAAGCCCTCCCCCAGTGACGTCTTGCTCCCGGTCCTAGCTACATCCACAATCTCAAAACGGACCTCAAAATCGCAAACCAGGAGTAACCAACGACTGCCTTGTCAAATCTGATCCTGTAGGCCAGGGGTGGCAAACCGCCAGCCCCAATCCAGACCACTGCCTGTCTTTGTAAATAAAGTTTTATTGGTACACAGCCACGCTCGTCTATGGATTGTCTGGGCTGCTTTTGTGCCACAATGGCAGAGTGGAGCTGAAGTGACAGAGCCCGGATGTAGGGCATTTTGTTTGGCTTTGCACTGTTTTGCTTTTTAGGGGTGGAAGAAAGGAACAAGGAGGCTGTTTCAATAATCTCTAACAATCACACTATGAAAGAAACACCTACCATACCACAACCCCGTATTCGGACCCCAAGTCTCCCATTTCATTATTCCTTCATCAGAGAAACTCTGTTACCCAGGAACCCTCCCTCCCTGCCTAGCACACTTTCATCCCCAAGAAATTACCACGGTTACATCCAACCAGTCTCTCTAAGAGAAGCCTTGGGAGCCTCCTCAAGTGCCCCTCCATGTCACCCCCAAATGTACCTTGTCTTTGAAGCTCTGTCTGGTTCTCCCCAGACAGAATCAGTTGCTCCCTCCTCCTGGCTCTCATCATATTTTGCTCATTCTTCTCTCATAGTTCTTGAAGTCACATCCCAGTGATCTCTCTGTTTGCCTGTCTTCTAGGCTATGGATTTCCTGAGAGTAAGAACTATATCTTATTCAACTTTTTATCCCCAGAACCTAGCACATTAAAAGACATATAAGGGGACACTCCGTTAATAATTATTACAAAAATAACTCAGTCACTCTGACTCCCCTGGAACACAATCTCAAAGGAAATGGAAGAAAGAATTGTCCGATATTCCCTGAAGACTCAGTATTCTTCTAACAGTCTTTCCCAGGGGTGACTGTGACCCCGTCCTTCTAACCCATGGCCCTGAGTGGGGCTGACTTTTCCACATTCTTTGTTAGCTGGTCATCTAATTTTGAACTTGTGGAAGAAGAACCTCATTGCAGAAATATATGCCAACAGTAGTTAGAAGAAGACAATCTTTCTAACAACTAGAGTGGTCAGAAGACTTGGAAAGCCCTGGCCCTGGGTGGAAAGGAGGCCGAGTGTTCTTGAAGGTTCCTTCTCACTCTGAGGTTTGGTAATAGTCTGGTTTCTCTGGTGTGACCCCATCAGGAGACAGAGCTAGCACGTGGACAAAGGATGCAGATTTGCCCCATCAGGTCTGGAGCATAAAAGGAACCAATCCTCTTGTGGCAAATGCCATTGGCATTGGACCATTTCAGCAGCAGTGCCACCACTCGCCTCATTTGTAGCCTTTTTAATGGTCACAAATGTGAGGAGACCCGATAACATTCTGTAATGAACAAAAGTTGGTAACGTGGGTATCCGAGACATTGATCACATGTGTGGCCACTCCCCGGCTTGTGGACAGTCTTCCTTTGGTGAACTTGGACTTCCCACATTGAGTTCTTGTCTTAGTCTGCTCAGACCGCCGTAACAGAACAGCACAGGCTGCGTGGCTTAAACCACAGCCTCCACACGTCCAGAGGTTAGAAGCGTGCGACCAGGGTGCCAGCACGGTCAGGTTCTGGTGAGAGCTCTCTTCCTGGCTTGTGGACTGCCAGGCCACCTTCTGGCTGGGTGCTCGTGTAGCCTTTCCTTGGTGCACGTGTAGGGAGAGAGCTTTCTCTCTCTTCCTCTTCTTATAAGTCTACTAATCCTATCAGATTAGGACCTCACTTTTATGACCCCACTTAACCTTAATTACCTCCTAAAAGCCCTACCTTCAAATACAGCCACATTGGGGGTTGGGCTTCAACATATGAATTTGGGGGGGTGTCACAATTCAGTACATAGCAGTTACCCTTCCCAAAGTAGCACCCAGACTCTCTCTTCCAGCATCCTTTGCAGCTGGGTGCAAGTGTATGTCACAGGCTGGGCAATTAGATGCCTTCAACTCGGTAAAAATCAGGACGAGGCAGGAAAGAGGTTGAATCCACTCTACAGGAGGTTGGCGTCACTTGGCAAGGAGGCATCAATTCTCAGGGGCAGCCCCAGGGAGGGCCAGTCGTGGTGACCAGTGCAGATTATCTTCTGGGTGAGTCCAGGGACCTGGCCCTTCCTCTGCGGCGACAGCCAGCCCCTCGTATAACTCATGCTCCTGGTCCTACAGCTTCCATGCCTGACTCTGGTCTCCCAGAGAGTCTGTGACCTAGTGACAGTCTTCAATAAATCATCTTTTGGCTCAGACTAGCTAGATGTACCGTCGGCAATGAAGAAGGCAGATGTGTATGGCTGATGTGGGTGCTTAAATCTAAACCACTTTGCTCCCTTTTGCTTTCTTGGCCAGCTTCTCCAGAGGATTGTTTTTCTTCCTTGGTGCTATTTTGAAGGACTATTGGGCGATGTGATTTTGTACTAACTCTCGGCTTATTTACCTTGGGCTCGTTCCTCGGCCTTTCCCTACTTCACTTTGTATCATAGGAGGTGTGTGGACGGCCCACTCCTGCAAGCTATGTGGCACAGGCTCTTGTGATACCGGGGTTCCAGCTGGGTTCAACCCAGGAGAGGCACCGGTGGGAGACTGGAGGCACCAGGGAGGGCGACGCCAGGTTATCGCTCCCCTTCTCTCTGCCTCGGGGGGCGTCTCCAGCAGGGCTCACCTCCTCCTCCTCCTCAGCTCTGTGGGCCAGGCGCCCTGGGCCCAGCTTTGCCCAGGTGACTATGGCTCTGTGCTTCGGTCTGGGGGTAGCAGTGGCTTCCTGCTACTGCTCATCTCTCACCTGTCTCACCGCCCTCATTTGGCTTCTCGGCTTTTCCTCATCTGTGTCACCACCTCACTGTATTACATGTCCTTTGTTTTAAATGCTTAGAGTGGGTCTCATCTTCCTGGTTGGAACCCGATTGATACAGCTCTCCATACCACTTCCTCTTTAGGTCAAAGAGCCACCACCCGCCCGTGGGCTGGAGTGAGCCTCTGCACAGCGCCATCAACTCGATGGGTAGAATTCCTCCTATTACTTTGGATAAGATCATTTCTTCGAGGTTGACAACCACGAACCAAGTGTTATCAGGCCATCTACAAAACTCTTCTGGCCATTTCAGAGACCAAGAAACAGCGTGCAAAGAGACTTGGTGATGGAAAAAGTCATGATTAGAAACAGCAGCTGAAACCTTGCCCCACTGACCAGAAGATCCCATGAGGATAAAGCGCGATAAAGCAGAGATGGGTCAGTGAAGCTGATAAACACTCAACTTGT